CATCTCTTCGTCTCTCATTTTGAGGACTACTTTCCCGATGTGTTTACCGGTTGTCATGAATCGGAACGCCTTCTCGGCCTCCGAGGCATTAAATACCGTATAATTGATTGGTTTGACGCAACCATTCGTACAGTTCTTATGCATCCAATCGTAAAACTCATTCAGGAATTCAAAGTCCTCATTGGAATGTGCCATGATCAGTTGCATATTGTGCTTAACAACATAGTTTGCATTCCGTTTACCAAGTCTATCATACTTTTCAACGTCTATTATGCGACCATTTTTAGCCAAACAGTCAATACTAGCGCCCAGTTTGTCACCGGACAGGGAGTTAATCACAATATCGACTCCCTTTCCGTTCGTCACATCCATTATGTGATTCTTGAAGAGAGTATCTCTTGAGTTGAATATCCGGTTCACAGGAATGTTATACTCCTTCGTAAGGAAGTCCTTCTTTTCTTCCGTCCCAACCGTCACATAGATATCGCACCCGTAGTGGAGACACATGTTTATAGCCGACTGTCCCACAGCTTCAGCCGCCGAGTGAATCAATATGCTCTCCCCTATTAGAAATTAACACCAAGATCATTAAATAAAAACATTTAAAAATTCTCATTTCCAAATTCTTACCTCGCTTAATATTAGCTCTTTTTATTAGGCAGTACCATAAGGTGCTATAAGCACTGAGTATAGTCACCGCCTCAGCCATAGACCAATGATGGGGTATTGTAGTCATGCTATGCGTGTTTGCGTTTATTGTTGTAGATATGCAAGATACTTTATCGAGCCCCATAACTCGTTGACCTGTTTTCCAATTACGACCAACGTATTCGTGGCCAAGGTAACAATTTTCATGTGACTCATTTACAACGTTACCTGTTTATAAATATAATACTTTAGTATGTTGAACAAGTAAAATTAAGAATTTGTAAACATCTAGGATCATTACTACCTAATGCGAGTGCAGCATCTTGGTATCCAATTCCCGAATAATATATTTCTATTACAACTGTATTTTCCAATTGATTACTAGTTTGTAGCTTAGATGCCATAGTATTTGTTGATATCTTTTGTAAACCATACCATTGAAGGCTTTCCTCGCCATTCGTTTGTCCCAAACTCAAGTAGTAGTCATTTGTGAGGCATTTGTCATAATCCGTGGGAAGTCTTAAGTGTCGATAAGTTCCCACTTTTCCCTCTTTCACGACATTCGCCACTAAATCGTTGGCCAATATATCCTTATATGGGTTTACATTGAAGTCTATATCCATTGGACTACCAGTGCTGTCGTAATTGAAAATATATCTCCAGTTCTCTCCTCCCGCTTCTAATTGCAAGCAATTCATGAGACCTATTATGCCATTAATGGACGAATCGTTCGCTACGAGCCATACGTTATCCGTCTTATTGTTTACTTCTTTAGCGGCAATCAGTTTTTGCTGCAATACTCCAAACCATTGCTCGTAATTGCCGTTAATATTAATGACATCATTGTTATTAGGAATAGGTTTTTGACAAATATTTCTAAAGAGTATCGCAATGTTTCCGATGGTATCCCGCTTTTTGCTGATTACGCGGAAACCTATATCCGAAGCAATTGTCGTAAAACTTTCTATACGTTTGCGTAAATCGTTGTCATTCGCGATAGTCTTTCCAATAACTGAGTTCAACGCGAGTTCCGGTTCCGTAAACTTATAGCGGAATACCGTTAATAAGAATCCGTTTGATTGGATCGAGTCATACAAGTCTTGCGTAAATGTTTGCAAATCTATTGGCCATAAGTCCGGTGTGTCTCTTAATATAACCAAACGTGATGGCGATATTTGAACACGCTCATTTAAATCCCATTCCCTGGCATTGCGCTTAAATTCATCAAGCATACCCACTTTAGATTTAACTATAAAATGATTTAAAAAGTAAATTGGCTTAAGCTGGAATCGACTAAAATAATTATTGACCGATGTAGTAAGTAGGTGATTGGTGAAATTGATTTCCGTTATAATAAACTCGCTATGAAGATCGATATTTTCGCAAACGATATGCACTAGAGATCTAATCATTCGCTCATTCATTGAGATTTTATTTATTAAATCGTGACTCAAATCGCATTCAGGAGTCGTCAGTAATTCAGTTATTATTTTATCCGTATTTTTTGCATCATTCATATCCTTATCGAGCATTTTGTTGAGTAGTTTATCAAAAACCCGAAACATAACGTGATTTTCATTGTTTGCATTTCTATAGTCGAGTATCGTTTCATCGCTAAATGACTTGTAATTGAAATCGCATTTCATTTCATTGAAACCAATTTGCTTTACCTTTGCAGCCATTGCTTTGCAAACCTATAGAATATAATTTGAAATATCATTTATTAAATAACTCAAAAAATAGTCACGAAAGTAATAACTGAACACAAGTTTTATTATTAGTATTCTGTATACAATTTTCACTTTTGTCTAGATGTTTGCTTTAAAAACATAAGTGGTTTAAGAAATTGTTGATAAAATGGTTTTTATTTAATAGTGTTTTAGACGCTGGACAGGGATGCGTCAAAACTGAACCACCCAACCCGGGCTATTTGTAGATATGTTATATAATAACAATGCTAACGATACCAATTGCAGTAGTAACATTTATGAGTGACCTTTGTCAAGTATATGGATTAATGGCGAAACATTTACCAACCTCAACGTAACGATTTATGGTGACTGACATATTAGGGTCGATAGCATAATGGTCATCGTTATCGCAAAACTCACTCGAGTCCACCACGAATTGGTCGACATCGGACTCTCGCCGAACCGGACGACACGTCCAGCCCTCCAACTCCACGCC